TGGTTACAAATGTAAGTTACCCTTTTTTCTCTAAAAATATTAAATATCGCTGTCTAAACTGAATGAGACTTATCCGTTACATTTATAGCATATGAAAAGCATTCATGGAACAATAAAATATAATATCAGCTCATTTTAGCACCTTGTTGGAAATTAACTTTCTAAAGATACGATGTACAACTGATTATGAAGAAAGTAAAGGGAATTTAATGAGTATTTTAGCGTTCCTGGATGTTTTGAAAGACCAAAGCCGGCGTGCGGTATTATGACCTTATGCGACTATTAAATCGGTTTAAATTCGCTTAATCGCCCTGTTTTATGAATCGGAATACTATGAAATTTGCCTTCGAAATGTTTGTTTTATTACATATGAATGGTGGTTTTAGTTCTGTTCGGGCCGTTTTCCTTGGTAGGAAATTTGTTTATTTTATTAACAATGGTGGACATTAAATGATTTTTTATTTATTGTTTAATGCCGGTGTTAGAATTTAAGTGTTATTTTATAAGATGGGTGATGGATAGTGTTGCAGACCCATTTCAGAAACAAATTTAAAAGAGGGTTTTTATAAACGCATTATTTTTTCATTGTTTAATTTGATTTTAAATCTGTTTGATAATTGTCATTACTTATTTATTCATTGCTTTATTTTTTGAAATTGTTTTATAATTTTTTTAACTAGGCATTGTTCCTTATCATAATAACGCTTAATATATTGCAAATAGTTATACCAAAATTGAGCGAATTAATAATTCACTGTGAATAAGAATCTTTTTTCAAAGCGAACCCCTGCATTTATTGTTACACATTTTCTACTTATTTCTGAATTTATACAAAACAAAGAAAACAGCGTCTTTGCTATCAATATGTAAATATTAACAACATTTTAAGATCTTTCCACATCATGTTTTATATCTTTATAGATATTATTTTATTATTATTTCATTATTATTTTTGTTAATATTACGTATTATGCATTATACAATTATAAGCATCCACATTTTTAAACAAACATTTCTTAATGGTCAACATGTTCATAAGTGTCAGTAGTTAAAACTTTCTTCATAATTCATAAATCAAAACACAATATTTTAAGCCAGTAAGAGTATATATATAAAGAATATAATTTTATCTATATTTTATTCTCATACATTTTTTCTTAAATATAATGTCATAGTATTGTTATAATATTCTTTTGTAAGATGACAACGGACGAAGAGTTTTCCAAGTTTTAAATATAAGTTTCAACTAAAAGTCTGTAGAAACCATGTTAAATAAATTACTTACATAACAATTCTCAAATTAATTGCTAATGTGAAAATCATATTGTAAAAAATCATTGTACGTTTTGTCCTTTATATCAAAATTTATGAAAACGCATTTCTTCAAACACACTTTTTTGTAACATTATGTAGTCATTATTTGCAGTACCATTGCTTTTAATAGAGGCACACGGTGCTAAACATTAAATAAACCCTGAAAGGCATGCTTGTCCCAATTCTCTTAAATTGAAACCGAAGCTTAAATCAGTGAATATAATTTGAATAACAAAACACCCCCTTTTTGCTTTTAATAAATGCAAAAAGAAGGGTCATTTATTGATGAAGGGGACGTTTTATGAAAAATTGACCTTGTTTTTATTTTCTAAATTACACCAAAAACAAGCACAAACGCACCATAAACACGTATTGCTCTTTAAATTAATAGGGCTAATAATATTAATTTCACAATTAAGATTTATGTGTTTTTACACAATAACGCCAGTTTGTTTCACTTTGAAAGCAACAGCGCTTAATTTTATATGCATTCTTTTTTTATCCGCATATCACCGTATTTTATGCTTTTCCAAAATATGATTTAATATATATACAAACATACATTCTCATGATGGGGAAATCATTGCAAAACTATCGTGATTTTTATTTGCTATTTTATGACAAAAATAAATGTTTCCTCTCATAGGATAGGTGGCGAAAAAGAATTTTCATAGTCATTTTATTTGGGTTTCATAGCTTTTAGTTTTATGTAACCTTCTTTGACAGATGATACGTGTTTTGATTGGTCAATAAAATCAAATCAAAGAACGAGACCGCCTTTGATCACAGTCATTGAGTAACTAGATTTGTATTTGGTAATAAAATGAGCACACACACATATATATCTATGAGTTAACAAAATGAAGCTGGGAGTTTATAAGTACAAAAATTACATGTGTCGTAACTTGAATATAAAATGATCATATGTGTGGCGTTCACTAACGTTGACTGGTACACGATTTGATAATAAAAAACTTTTATATACATCATAAAAAACAAAAGTAGTCAATGTGAAAGTATCAGTGTATGAGCGCTAGTTGTTTTTTTTATCATATATTATTTTGCAATTCATCTTTTAAGATAAAATTGGATATTCTTTTACATGTAAGTGCTTATAAATATACAATTTCTTGTAACCGTAATTCTGTGTAATTCCACTGGAGCACCGTTCTAACACTATTTCATTTATAACTTTTAACTATACATTATATATTAAAAGCGTTTCATCAATTTGCTGTTTTATAGTTTTACGACTTTCAATTAAGGAATTACATATCACTAGCGTTTATTGAAAACGCAGCTTGTCTGTTATGCACTTGACGTTCATTGCGGTAGTTACTTTTTGTGTTTTAGAAATGAAATTAAACTAACACCGATACTTTTCGCTTTAAACCTCTCTGAACAGATATTAAGTGCTATAGTTTTCAACTAATGCGCAGTCTCGGATAATGAACTGCAAACTCTCTATTATTCGTTTGAATGAAATAAAATCATCAGTTCCAAGTCTCAATGGGAAATAGTTGCATGTTGAATTTTACACTCTTTATTCTAATGCAATATTAACGTAAAATTAGTGATTGCGTTCCATTATGAAAAAGACAACATTTTATGCAAAAAGTACTTAAAACAAACGCTTGCGTGCTGGAGACCTGAGGCATGCGAAACCCTTCAGTGAATGTAATGGAAGTAATTTTTGTGTGCTCTAGATTTCTTTTAAATGACGCCATTTGCAAACGCTCCCTCAAAACATATGCTGCTGAAAGAGAGCGGTATATTTCCCGTGCCGCGGAATTCAAAATTTATGTTCACCCTACGCTCCAGTTTAGACTACAAGATTGCAATGCAAGAGATTTATACCTTTACTAGGACCGTAAATTACCAGAAATGTGGGAGGCCAAGATTTCAAACAAACGCATACTTTTCGTTCCTTTTCTAATAATTTACATCTTTGTGTTTTTGTTTTTTTTCTGGGTTGTTGGTTTAGACGAAAAGATTACGTCAACTGAATGTTGGATATTCTAATTGCTTACTTGATTTCAATATTCATTTGTACATACATGTATGATGACTGCGTGTCGTCTGCAACGTCAGTCACTATCCACTCCGTTCATATTAAATATATATAGTAGTTTGTAGTGATTATTTAAAGACGTTAAGTCGCTTCACATTCACTTTTAGTATTCTGGGATAACTTTTGTTTCAAAGATAGAAAGCTTAGTATTGATAACTTACAATACTTTTCTACTTCCGGTATGTATAATTCACGCAGCTTTGAGCAATAAGTATGGGTTTCTTACACATTATCAAATTCTTGTCGTTTAGGAAATGCTAGCTGCCCGAAAATCTTCCTTTACTTTAAACTTCCTCGGATGTCGAAAAAGCGCGTGAAGTTGCTATGTCATTAACTTGAATATGATATGTATAAAACCCAAAACTTTTCACCTATTTGGTGCAGTTGTCGTTATTTATGTTCCGTTCGCGTGAAACCTTAGCTGATAATACTTTCTAGATTGACGTAATTTAAGTTCAATTTGATATAAACAAATCCAAATTTCCCATAGCACAAGCTACATGCATTTAAAAACGATTTCGGTATATTCAAATATTCGGAAAATGGCTTTTTACACCGTAAGAATAACTAGGTGTGATATTTGCACTTGAACGGTGCACGCTTAGTCGAATGTTACGTTTTTCCTAGCTTAATATTGATGTGTTTTAAATCGAGCATATACGATTAGAAACAAATCTGGATATACGAGATGTTACAACAAACATAACGAAGGAGCGGTGATGAATTCAGGGTATTTTGGAAATATTTAAAATATAATGTTTTGGTTGAAATGTATACTTTGAAGAGATGGTTAGGAAGTTTTTACTTATTGTATTTTGAAATCCGTAGTTTGCACCTGCATTTGTATTGTTATAATTTATATTATATTAACAAAAACAACAACGACGTCGGCAATAACAACAATAGATTCAGCTTTAAGCTCTTGATCTAAGGGTGTGTAAGGCGTAACGAAATTGTACCAAATTTATGTTTTGTAAATATATAAATTAATTGTATATTATAGTAAATAAATGATTAATTTATCAAATATTTTGATTAAAAAATATGTAAATTTAGATAAAATCGATAGAAATTGTGAACATACTCTTAGATTCCCCATATTGCCATACGCAACGTGGACTCGGGGTAATGTATATAATAAAGTTGGAATAAAACCCCGTGCACGTGCGTGCTAATCTTGGAATATTCACGTCGAGATTTCTGATGACTTTACACGTAATGACGTGCAGAATGATTTATAAATCGTATGCATGCACGTCATATTTATGGAAATTATTAGCTAAACTTAATATTTCTATTATGCTATTTCCATATTATATTAATAAAATCATTTAAGGACAAAAATGATGTGATTTAATTACATCTCAATATTTAGTCATGAATATACATGTTCCGATTTTACACAAAAACGTCATTATCATTTGGAACATTATATCATAGACTTTGTTTGAGAGAATACTATACTTAGAGGTTAATTTATAAATATCAAGTAGAAGTCATATTACAGGGTGTGTAAGGTATAATTATATATTTTTGTTTATTTAATATTAGCATCAACAAACATTGTATATTTGTATATTTTGTATATTTGTATATTTTCTCTTTCTATTTTCAGTGGTTATGGTAAATTATGGAAAGCCCTGCTAACAACATTCTAGCTGCCCACTCCGGACTGTCTTTGTATCCTAATCCAATAAGTACCTCCGTCCCAGGTCTACTGAGTTCGAGCCCAACACAAGAGTCTTCGTCTTCGCGGTTGTCAGGGAACAACTCGTGGGGAAGTTACACCGGTGACAGCGGCATTGTGGCACATAACTCGTGTTCAATGGCATCGTACGGTAATCTGCCCTTAGGGGCTAGTTTTTCAATGAACAGCAAAGCTGCCGCTTATAATTCAGCCTTTGGAAGCAGTTCGGACTATTTGAATTGTAGACAAATGGTGAACCATATGTCCCCTTTGAACGCTATGCCAATGCGCAATTATCCCTCTATATATGGTGACATGTACCAAGGACATACAGCCGGCTACACAAACAGTGGATTTTATCCCGACATGACCGCCGGAATCCCACCCTTCCCCGGCAGAGAATTAGAATGTCGGCAACCGCCGTCAGATTCATCGGAAGGAGGTAAATTTTGTTCTAAATGTACTTTTTTATATTTGTGTACTTTTTAAGTTAATGTATTTGTGTGTACAAAACGGGAATATATTGATGTAAATAATAGTGAATATTCATTTACTTTAAATAGTCATATTTCAGTTTACTTAAATTTAACTCCAGTTTATTTTCTTTGATCCCTTGCTTTTGGCGGAAGAATAAATGAGGGGGAAATAGATGGCACCACGGAACTTCTTTACTTAAAGGAAGATAAAAGGGGACTTTCTATAAAACCACAATTGAAAATAATTTGATTCAAATTTAAATCTTTCTGGTCATTGTATAAAATCTAGAGATTTTCCCTTTTATTTCGAGAAATAAAAAAAAGGAAGATATTAATGCTAAAAAATGGATTGATAACTTAAAAAGTAACACTAGAACGGTATGGTAGGAAGAGGTTTTTAACGGGAGCATATCATCAACCAAAAAACATTTTATGCTCTTAATTTTTACAGTTATTTGTAACGTTTCTGTACAATATAATTTATAACTAATTGATATATCAATTTGAAATTAATTGCAAACAGATAGGGGGTACTAATTTAAGATTTTAAAGACATTTATACCGTACCCTGCAGTTATAAAACTTCAAAACATTCAATTTTTCTTACGTGAATATGTCAAGGAAGTTTATAAAAACTGGGAGTCAAGTTTGACATTTGACCTGATGACATTATACCGGACAGTCAGTGCATTGACCAAAGGGACAGAGTCGAAGAGTAGATTTCAAAGTGGACACATTGAGTAAATAGTTCATTAACACTATCTCGCAAATAAAACTTCAATGCTCGCACGGAATTAAATATTTAAAAGATATATAATAACAAATTCCAAAATGTGTTCTAAATATACGAAATTATCATTTTATAATAAGTCTTTCACAGTTTAATTTGCAAGAAATGGCATACATATGAGAACTAATTTCACATTTAGACCAAGAAGTTGAAGCTGCGTTTGTTTTATACCATCTGGTCAGTTTTTAGGCAAGCGTTTTTAATCGAACACGTATCCAAATGACCGTATAATGAAGCGGAACACGTGGCAGCGTTTGGAACCGATGTTCTAAGGATAATAAACATGCAATCAAGTGTGCATGCTAATGGGCGAACTTTGATTGGTTTTTCTAACAGAACTGTCTAATAATTTATCCATTTCCGACATCTATAGCGGCGAGTTTGTTTTATTAGCGAGAAATCATTATACATCTGATGGAAACTGTTTTTTCGGTTATTTGTATTTTGTTCTGAGAGATAAGTGGAAGAGTTGACCAGTAGCCTGGCGTTTGATACAATAATCTTTTCTCATATTAAGTATATTTTCAAGTACAATATACTTCAAATTCTCTGTTCGGACAAATTAAAGATTAGAAATAAAGAAATAAGTACTGGTTGTTTCAGGAACTAATTCGAGAGTGCGTCTAAATGTTTATAGCGTTCTACACAAGTGAAGTAAAATAAATTTTGTATATGCTATGACTAAAATCTAATAGCATTGTACTTATTTCAGTTGACACCCAATTTTTATAGACCTTTAAAACTATATTAATTGAAAAATTGCGTTTCTTTTCCATTTGTTTGTTAATAGTTGATGCTGTTAGGGCTACAGTTTCTTTTTAGTGAAAATTACCATGACGATGGAGAAACATTGATATTGTTACATATTCGATGTATGATCTTTCTTATTCTTTGGTATTCTCTTGCTAAGAAACTAGGCTGGAATGCACTAATATTGTGAAGTGAGTAAAATATGATAGACATGAAATGGGGGGAAACAATTCCACAGTCTTAGCGTTCTCGGGATCGTTATCTTATGTAATACACATGAAATTAATTAGGCACCCTTTATAACGTCTTGTTTTTAATATCAATTAACGTTTAATTAACGATACGTTGAATATAAGTGGTAATTAATAATCCACAGGAGAACCTGTGTTTAGTACAACTCACGCATTGTGCAATAATGAAGTATCATTTAAAAAGAATAATTCAGTTTTGTTAACAATTTAGGAGTGCAACTGTATTTTTCGGTGACACGTGATACGGGTAAACCCGCGAAACAGTATCCGATGACTGATTTATGGGACCGGGAATTCAATAGTGTACAGGACTACGACAACTTAACACCTTTTGAATAATACACGCACTTTAAAGCAAAATTATTTATTTATAAACTGTAACAAAACTTAACAAAGGATTATGTATGATTTGATATTTTTTACCCAAAACATGAGCTAGCTTGCACCTTTGGTTCTAGTCCGGAAAGAAAAGAACAAACCTTTGGCGGTTAGTTATTCTCGTGCGCATGATTTTAAATATTTGATAAATGACATTAATTAATATTCATACGGAATGTATAATGGTGTTGTTTTTTAAACATTAATGTATTATTTCATACGAATTCAATAACATTTCGCGGTTTCGTTGGTAATATTCGCGGTGAGTTTTCTTCTCCGCAATTAATTCTTTTGTGTTTTAAAGTATGTTTACAAATTAACATTAAAGTGACTAAATGCTTTTAAATTAAACTGTACTAATTACGAAAGGGTCATTAATTTCATAGCCCTTCTCACGCTCTTCTATTTTTCTTTGGAATGATATCATATCTTAACAGAGGATTGATAGATATGATATGAAAGTTAGAAATTTCTATTATTTCAAAACGTTGAAAGCGATACTGCCTTAACCTTTTACGGAGCGTTTTTTTTATGAAAATATATTATTTACAATAATGTGGCAGTGAACTTAAGAAAAGATGTGTTAAACAACTGAAAATTAAGCAGGTATGAAACGGGTTCATGAAAGTAATTCTTCATCCCCAATCTGTCAAGCTTGTCAAGGCTAGCTGTTCATACTCACAGCTTCACACCTAGCCACCTAATTGATTCATGTATATATATTAGCGGCTCCTTTGATGTATATAAGAGACTCCATCTTAGAAGGTGATAATGAATGGCATACTTAACGTAAATAAATGAGCGGTCAGGGATCTTTTTAAAAAATTACATTCAGTACGTAAACGGACGGGTTTTAAACTTTCCATACAAATGTCGTCGGTTATGACCCAAATTGCACTTGCCGATTATCAACTACTTCATATTGCTTTCCGGAAATGAAAGAATTGCGAAGACGAGGCTCCTTATAATTGTATATAAAACATTAAGACAATGGTCTGTAATATCTTTGGAATAAATGATGAATAAAAAGATATTAAAGAAAACGTCTACTTTACATAAACCGAAATAACAAGAGCATTTGAATTCCATTAATCAACTTGGTTTTCAAATAATTCATCCTATCGAGCAAACGCCTTTCCTTCTTCAAAATGACAATGGGATATTTAATTCTTATTTATACATATTCACGTCAGATGAAACCAGGGTTTGCGTTGTTTTCCATGCGGCCGTATCTAATTAACGTCGGGCGATGATTTATACGTTATGTTAATGTTAAAGTCCTCGATATTAATAAAACCCGATTGTTTTCCGAAACAGCACGCATATCATGTGTTGATATACATGGAAAAATGATAAATATGCCGCAATTTGTCACCAATTTGTCATAAAGATCGAACAATATAGACTAATTATTAGTTATATACCACGTTATTTGACTTATCAATATTGTTTTTTTGACCACAGGTTATATATGAATACATAAGGATACTCTTCAATCACAGTTTACCACTAATACATTATCTTTTTTTTTCAATAGCAAATACTTTAAATTATCTTTCATTTCAATGGCGCTAAATATGTCAACTTTTATTTCAGCCATTGCAATATACATGTACAAAATTATCACTCATTTTAATGTCAACAGACAAAATTATCTTTCATTTCAATGCCAGTATACAAAATTATCATGCATTTCAATGGCAACAGACAAAATTATCTTTCATTTCAATGCAAACAGATAAAATTATCCGTGATTGGAATGGCAATATACAATATTATCATTAATATAGATGGCAATATACAAAACTATAATTCATTTCAATGGCAATATACAAACTTATCTTTCATTTCAATCACATTTCACAAAATTTCAATTGAAATATCTTGGGTTACTTTGCAACTATAATATTCTTCATATGTTAGTCTTAAATATTAACTTATTTCAATATATACATAGTTAATACAAAGAAGAAAAGAAATATTTGTTTATCAGATGTAATTCACGTATTAGTTTTTACCATTGTTTTTGATATTTTGCATAGATTAACAAAAAAAATAATGGTTTCTGAGCAGTTACGATTCGCGTACTTAGCGTAATTAATTAGTATCCGTAAATCAAATAAATTACATAAAACACTTACTTTATCGCTGCAGTATGAGTTCTAAGCAGATATTGTCTGCAATTACGCATTTCCTTGGCTTTAATATTCTCAGAGTCTTCAAGAGATTTTTATCTGTTAGTATAAGTGGTTATTGTAATTAATAAAAGTTGTATGAGATTATACAACTCCAAAGACTATAGTGTACAGTAATGATATTAAATTAACACTTAAAACAATGATGGTTCGGTCTAACATGCATATGTTTAAGTATAAACAACAATTGATGGGTTTAATGGAATATTTTCTCCTACTTGTACAAATTGAGGAAGGAAATATGAACAGAATCAGAATATTTTTCTATATATTGACGGGAGGGGATATGAATATAGTAACTTGTTTCAGCATCATCTCTTTAAGAGTATCAATAAACGAACTTCGGAACAATTCGATTTATTTTATAAAAACAGACATTCCGTTTAACTATTTAGCATATTTTCAACTCGTGTGTTAAGTATATTAAGTCCGTGAAATGAAGGAGAAATATACTTTACAGAAACCGAACATTACTGTGTTTGGCCTTTGTCGATTTTCTGCAGAGTTAAAATAATTTCCATTATACAAGAGACTCCCACAGGGAGTGAAATATACTTAATCATTGTTATTCTATCAGTTTATTTTTGAACTTTTGATACTCG